AGTTAAGAAGGGTAGATAAACTGCCAGGGGAGAGTTAAGAAGGGTAGATGAACTGCCAGGGGAGAGTTAAGAAGGGGAGATAAACTGCCAGGGGAGAGTTAAGAAGGGGAGATAAACTGCCAGGGGAGAGTTAAGAAGGGTAGATAAACTGCCAGGGGAGAGTTAAGAAGGGTAGATAACTGCCAGGGGAGAGTTAAGAAGGGGAGATAAACTGCCAGGGGAGAGTTAAGAAGGGTAGATAACTGCCAGGGGAGAGTTAAGAAGGGGAGATGAAACTGCCCAGGGGAGAGTTAAGAAGGGAGATGAACTGCCAGGGAGAGTTAAGAAGGGAGATGAACTGTCAGGGGAGAGTTAAGAAGGGTAGATAAACTGCCAGGGGAGAGTTAAGAAGGTAGATAAACTGCCAGGGGAGAGTTAAGAAGGGTAGATGAACTGTCAGGGGAGAGTTAAGAAGGGTAGATAAACTGCCAGGGGAGAGTTAAGAAGGGTAGATGAACTGTCCAGGGGAGAGTTAAGAAGGGAGATGAACTGCCAGGGGAGAGTTAAGAAGGGTAGATAAACTGCCAGGGGAGAGTTAAGAAGGGTAGATAAACTGCCAGGGGAGAGTTAAGAAGGGTAGATGAAACTGCCAGGGGAGAGTTAAGAAGGGTAGATGAACTGCCAGGGGGAGAGTTAAGAAGGGAGATGAACTGTCAGGGGAGAGTTAAGAAGGGTAGATGAACTGTCAGGGGAGAGTTAAGAAGGGTAGATGAACTGTCAGGGGAGAGTTAAGAAGGTAGAATAACTGTCAGGGGAGAGTTAAGAAGGGAGATGAACTGTCAGGGGAGAGTTAAGAAGGGTAGATGAACTGCCAGGGGAGAGTTAAGAAGGGTAGATAAACTGCCAGGGGAGAGTTAAGAAGGAGAATGAACTGTCAGGGAGAGTTAAGAAGGGTAGATGAACTGTCAGGGAGAGTTAAGAAGGGAGATGAACTGCCAGGGGAGAGTTAAGAAGGGTAGATGAACTGTCAGGGGAGAGTTAAGAAGGGAGATGAACTGTCAGGGGAGAGTTAAGAAGGGGAGATGAACTGCAGGGGAGAGTTAAGAAGGGTAGATGAAACTGTCAGGGGAGAGTTAAGAAGGAGAGATGAACGTCAGGGAGAGTTAAGAAGGGGAGATGAACTGTCAGGGGAGAGTTAAGAAGGGGAGATGAACTGTCAGGGGAGAGTTAAGAAGGGAGATGAACTGTCAGGGGAGAGTTAAGAAGGGGAGATGAAACTGTCAGGGGAGAGTTAAGAAGGGAGATGAACTGTCAGGGAGAGTTAAGAAGGGAGATGAACTGTCAGGGAGAGTTAAGAAGGGGAGATGAACTGCAGGGGAGAGTTAAGAAGGGAGATGAACTGTCAGGGGAGAGTTAAGAAGGGGAGATGAACTGCCAGGGGAGAGTTAAGAAGGGTAGATGAAACTGTCAGGGGAGAGTTAAGAAGGGAGATAAACTGTCAGGGGAGAGTTAAGAAGGGGAGATAAACTGTCAGGGGAGAGTTAAGAAGGGTAGATGAACTGCCAGGGGAGAGTTAAGAAGGGGAGATGAACTGTCAGGGGAGAGTTAAGAAGGGGAGATGAACTGCCAGGGGAGAGTTAAGAAGGGTAGATAAACTGCCAGGGGAGAGTTAAGAAGGGTAGATAAACTGCCAGGGGAGAGTTAAGAAGGGTAGATAAACTGCCAGGGAGAGTTAAGAAGGGTAGATGAACTGCCAGGGGAGAGTTAAGAAGGGTAGATAAACTGCCAGGGGAGAGTTAAGAAGGGTAGATGAACTGCCAGGGGAGAGTTAAGAAGGGTAGATAAACTGCCAGGGAGAGTTAAGAAGGGTAGATAAACTGCCAGGGGAGAGTTAAGAAGGGTAGATAAACTGCCAGGGGAGAGTTAAGAAGGGTAGATAAACTGCCAGGGGAGAGTTAAGAAGGGTAGATGAACTGCCAGGGGAGAGTTAAGAAGGGTAGATAAACTGCCAGGGGAGAGTTAAGAAGGGTAGATGAACTGTCAGGGGAGAGTTAAGAAGGGTAGATAAACTGCCAGGGGAGAGTTAAGAAGGGTAGATAAACTGCCAGGGGAGAGTTAAGAAGGGTAGATGAACTGTCAGGGGAGAGTTAAGAAGGGTAGATAAACTGTCAGGGGAGAGTTAAGAAGGGTAGATGAACTGTCAGGGGAGAGTTAAGAAGGGGAGATGAACTGCCAGGGGAGAGTTAAGAAGGGTAGATAAACTGCCAGGGGAGAGTTAAGAAGGGTAGATAAACTGCCAGGGGAGAGTTAAGAAGGGAGATGAACTGTCAGGGGAGAGTTAAGAAGGGAATGAATGCAGGGAGAGTTAAGAGGAAACTGCCAGGGGAGAGTTAAGAAGGGAGATAAAACTGCCAGGGAGAGTTAAGAAGGGTAGATAAACTGCCAGGGGAGAGTTAAGAAGGGTAGATAAACTGCCAGGGGAGAGTTAAGAAGGGTAGATGAACTGCCAGGGGAGAGTTAAGAAGGGGAGATGAACTGCCAGGGGAGAGTTAAGAAGGGTAGATAAACTGCCAGGGGAGAGTTAAGAAGGGTAGATAAACTGCCAGGGGAGAGTTAAGAAGGGAGATAAACTGCCAGGGGAGAGTTAAGAAGGGAGATAACTGCCAGGGGAGAGTTAAGAAGGGTAGATAAACTGCCAGGGGAGAGTTAAGAAGGGTAGATAAACTGCCAGGGGAGAGTTAAGAAGGGGAGATGAACTGCCAGGGGAGAGTTAAGAAGGGTAGATAAACTGCCAGGGGAGAGTTAAGAAGGGTAGATAAACTGCCAGGGGAGAGTTAAGAAGGGGAGATGAACTGTCAGGGGAGAGTTAAGAAGGGGAGATGAACTGCCAGGGGAGAGTTAAGAAGGGTAGATAAACTGCCAGGGGAGAGTTAAGAAGGGAGATAAACTGTCAGGGGAGAGTTAAGAAGGGAGATGAAACTGTCAGGGGAGAGTTAAGAAGGGAGATGAACTCCAGGAATAAAGGATACTGCCAGGGGAGAGTTAAGAAGGGTAGATAAACTGCCAGGGGAGAGTTAAGAAGGGTAGATGAAACTGCCAGGGGAGAGTTAAGAAGGGAGATGAACTGCCAGGGGAGAGTTAAGAAGGGGAGATAAACTGCCAGGGGAGAGTTAAGAAGGGGAGATAAACTGCCAGGGGAGAGTTAAGAAGGGTAGATGAACTGCCAGGGGAGAGTTAAGAAGGGGAGATGAACTGTCAGGGGAGAGTTAAGAAGGGGAGATAAACTGCAGGGGAGAGTTAAGAAGGGAGATGAACTGCCAGGGGAGAGTTAAGAAGGGGAGATGAACTGCCAGGGGAGAGTTAAGAAGGGGAGATGAACTGCCAGGGGAGAGTTAAGAAGGAGAGATGAACTGTCAGGGGAGAGTTAAGAAGGGGAGATGAACTGCCAGGGGAGAGTTAAGAAGGGGAGATGAACTGCCAGGGGAGAGTTAAGAAGGGAAGATAAACTGCCAGGGGAGAGTTAAGAAGGGTAGATGAACTGCCAGGGGAGAGTTAAGAAGGGGAGATAAACTGCCAGGGGAGAGTTAAGAAGGGGAGATAAACTGCCAGGGGAGAGTTAAGAAGGGAGATAAACTGCCAGGGGAGAGTTAAGAAGGGGAGATAAACTGCCAGGGGAGAGTTAAGAAGGGGAGATAAACTGCCAGGGGAGAGTTAAGAAGGGGAGATAAACTGCCAGGGGAGAGTTAAGAAGGGTAGATGAACTGTCAGGGGAGAGTTAAGAAGGGGAGATAAACTGCCAGGGGAGAGTTAAGAAGGGGAGATAAACTGCCAGGGGAGAGTTAAGAAGGGTAGATGAACTGTCAGGGGAGAGTTAAGAAGGGGAGATAAACTGCCAGGGGAGAGTTAAGAAGGGTAGATAAACTGTCAGGGGAGAGTTAAGAAGGGTAGATAAACTGTCAGGGGAGAGTTAAGAAGGGTAGATAAACTGTCAGGGGAGAGTTAAGAAGGGGAGATAAACTGCCAGGGGAGAGTTCGGGAACCGAGGTTAACAAACTACAAGACAAACACAACGATACATAATCATGGTACACACAATACTTAGCAGTAGACTGCAAGGAAATCAATCATCTATTTATGAGTAGACTGGATGATAATAATCTACTTGTAAATGTAGTAAACTGAAAGAGAATAAGATGCAATGAGAGGGAACAGGAGACACAGATAAATACGTGGATGACAAACACAGATGTGAAGAATTCCCTTTCCAGTCTTGGAATGGCACACGGAAGCAACTAGAAGAGGCGGCGGAGGTAAACAATATACACAGTTTTACGAGAGGGCACGATCGGACCTCCGCGACCATGAATCAATGAAACCTGGATGTAATAATAATGGAAAAGCGGAAGGAAGGAACTGAGGACAGGCGAGTACTGACACAACTGAGTACAAGCTGTTACAAGTACACACGGCTTCACAAACACTGCTAATAACGGGCTTACTTCACTCCCGTAGGTCCAAGGTTAAGACATGAGACCAAGAGCTCGAGCCCACCTCGCCCTAGACTACGTCAAATAGGCAATTAAAAATATATAAAATAATAAAAACGTCAGAACATCATGGCTGGAACAATATATATATATAATATAATATATAATATAATATATATATATATATATATATATATATATATATATAATATATATATATATATATATATATATTATATATATATATATATATATATATATATATATATATATATATAAAGATGGTGAGAGAGGAGAGGCTTGGTTAATATCTCAGCTGGCTGATTCCTGGGTCTTAATCGGTGTGTTACGACGTATTGAAACATTATTGGAGGTCTTGGCGCTGAGCACAGAGGCTGAGTGGCCTGTTCAGTGAATATTTAATGTGCTCATTGTTGCAGCACCCAGGACACAAGCGCTCGTACAATAGCCTCCAGTCTTACACAATCATTTAAAATGCACTTTGCCTCAAGGAGCTCATTCACAGTGTACATACCTTGATTGTCTCTTATGTTGGCAGCTACTGTGGTGGGTCCTGAGAGACTCCTGAGAGACAGACAGACAGAGATCTCACCAGTTCACAGACAGCAGCGTGTACACTCCCTGGGGGAGGAAGACAGGTATGCCTATTTATATAGGCAGGAGTAAAGCGATGTATGTGTGGTGTCCCGGAATATAGAAGGCAACAAATTAGGAAGGAAAATGACATAAATAGTAAAAGTATAGACGTATATTAAAATTAAACAGTGAAAAAACTTATTAAAGAAGCCTGTTGTTTATATTATGGTTTACCTGGAGTTTACCTGGAGAGAGTTCCGGGGGTCAACGCCCCCGCGGCCCGGTCTGTGACCAGCCTCTACATCAAAATATGGCAATGGTTTACACTGGTAAAAAAGACAACTAGTAATGACAGGACACAATGACTAACTTATGATAAAGTGAAAGCAGGAAGAATTTATTTAGATTTTGCCACGGAAGTGGCTAGTTTATTGTGTACCTCATACCCATCCTGTGGAGGGTACCTCAAACCCATCCTGTGGAGGTACCTCATACCCATCCTGTGGAGGTACCTCATACCATCCTGTGAGGTACTCATACCCATCCTGTGGAGGTACTCATACCCATCCTGTGGAGGGTACCTCATACCCATCCTGTGGAGGGTACCTCATACCCATCCTGTGGAGGGTACCTCATACCCATCCTGTGGAGGGTACCTCATACCATCCTGTGGAGGTAACCTCATACCATCCTGTGAGGTACCTCAACCCATCCAATGGAGGGTACCTCATACCCATCCTGTGGAGGGTACCTCATACCCATCCTGTGGAGGTACCTCATACCCATCCTGTGGAGGGTACCTCATACCCATCCTGTGGAGGGTACCTCATACCCATCCAATGGAGGGTACCTCATACCCATCCTGTGGAGGGTACCTCATACCCATCCTGTGGAGGGTACCTCATACCCATCCTGTGGAGGTACCTCATACCCATCCTGTGGAGGGTACCTCATACCCATCCTGTGGAGGGTACCTCATACCCATCCTGTGGAGGGTACCTCATACCCATCCTGTGGAGGGTACCTCATACCCATCCTGTGGAGGGTACCTCATACCCATCCAATGGAGGGTACCTCATACCCATCCTGTGGAGGGTACCTCATACCCATCCTGTGGAGGGTACCTCATACCCATCCTGTGGAGCGTACCTCATACCCATCCTGTGGAGGGTACCTCATACCCATCCTGTGGAGGGTACCTCATACCCATCCTGTGGAGGGTACCTCATACCCATCCTGTGGAGGGTACCTCATACCCATCCTGTGGAGGGTACCTCATACCCATCCTGTGGAGGGTACCTCATACCCATCCTGTGGAGGGTACCTCATACCCATCCTGTGGAGGGTACCTCATACCCATCCAATGGAGGGTACCTCATACCCATCCTGTGGAGGGTACCTCATACCCATCCTGTGGAGGATACCTCATACCCATACTGTGGAGGGTACCTCATACCCATCCTGTGGAGGGTACCTCATACCCATCCTGTGGAGGGTACCTCATACCCATCCAATGGAGGGTACCTCATACCCATCCTGTGGAGGGTACCTCATACCCATCCTGTGGAGGGTACCTCATACCCATCCTGTGGAGGGTACCTCATACCCATCCTGTGGAGGGTACCTCATACCCATCCTGTGGAGGGTACCTCATACCCATCCAATGGAGGGTACCTCATACCCATCCTGTGGAGGGTACCTCATACCCATCCTGTGGAGGATACCTCATACCCATACTGTGGAGGGTACCTCATACACATCCTGTGGAGGGTACCTCATACCCATCCTGTGGAGGGTACCTCATACCCATCCTGTGGAGGGTACCTCATACCCATCCTATGGAGGGTAGCACAAGAACATATGGACGCACAATAGGCCTAGGAACTAGGCCTCAAAGGGTTAACAGAAGTACATTTGTATTTATATCTACTTACAGAAAAAATTAAATAAGAAAAATCTAATTTTTAAGAGAAGAAGTTGAAGGTGGATAAGTGTAGAGAATATTAAACAAAAGCTAGTTGATATAACACAGAATAAGAAGATATAAATCAGGAATTAGAAAAAAAATTAAGATGGTACAGGTAAGTAGATGAAGGCTCGAAAGAATACAAATTAAAAAATATAGAAGTTAGTTATGTAGAAATAACTAAGAAAGAGAGAGACTAGTAGAGCGAGTGTAGTTAACTCAGGATGTTGTTAACAATGTTAATAAGAGTTTAGTGAAGGAGAGGCGAGAGACGGAACAATTCAAACCGACAATTGAAAAATAACATTAATAAAAACAACATGTGGTGCCAGGAAATTATTTCACTGCTGGAGTTAATATTAGCCAAGAAATGACAAAGAAAATTCCCAATAATTCCGAGACAGAGAAACACTGTTAATGTTTCTGGTTGTACCGAAAATAAAACAAATTAAAACACAGAAAAAAAAAACGAATAAGACATAAACGAGATGACAAAACACACAGTGGACGTCAGTCTTGAGAAACACACGGTGAGATAAACACGTGAAAAATGTGAAAAAGTATTAACACATACAGGTGGGAGAAACATTTACAAGGATTAAAGAAAGAGGAAGAAAGAGTAAAGAGAGGTAATGATATACATTAATTTGAAACCTATGATGATATGCAAATAAGACGAGATCCCTTAAATGTGAGGATTGGGGGGAGGGGGAGTGAGAGATTTTGTCAACACTGATAATAAGCTGAATGAGGAGGGAAATGAGGAAGACAAGTGTTTACAGAGTAACAGTGCACTACCCACCTACCATTGTTTACAAAGTAACGGTGCCCTACCCACCTACCATTGTTTACAAAGTAACAGTGCACTACCCACCTACCATTGTTTACAAAGTAACAGTGCACTACCCACCTATCATTGTTTACAAAGTAACAGTGCACTACCCACCTATCATTGTTTACAAAGTAACAGTGCACTACCCACCTACCATTGTTTACAAAGTAACAGTGCACTACCACCTACCATTGTTTACAAAGTAACAGTGCACTACCCACCTATCATTGTTTACAAAGTAACAGTGCACTACCCACCTACCATTGTTTACAAAGTAACAGTGCACTACCCACCTATCATTGTTTACAAAGTAACAGTGCACTACCCACCTATCCATTGTTTACAAAGTAACAGTGCACTACCCACCTACCATTGTTTACAAAGTAACAGTGCACTACCCACCTATCATTGTTTACAAAGTAACAGTGCACTACCCACCTACCATTGTTTACAAAGTAACAGTGCACTACCCGCCTATCATTGTTTACAAAGTAACAGTGCACTACCCACCTATCATTGTTCACAAAGTAACGGTGCACTACCCACCTATCATTGTCACAGAGAACAGTACACATGATACACCGTAAACAAATGATAACAAACAGAAAAATAAAAGGAAATAGCAAGGTAAACGTATGTGCAAAAATTATAAATACTAACACAGACTGACCAAAATATTAGAACCCAGTCATATAATAAATGATAAAAACATAAACAGTATGATAACTAAAGGAAACTAGAAAACATACTGAAGTCAGGTTGTTCTCCACGGAAGTTACACAGTGTGAAGAACACACAGAGAAGAGAAGAATAGAAGAGAATTGACAATACTGATAACAAGAAATCAGCACTAAATTCAGAATACACACAAACATCCACACACACAGTTCCACACTAGAGATTAGTGCGGAAGCTGGAGGAACAAGCAGGATACAGGAAGGCACTACAGTGGATCAGGAATACCTGTCAGGAAACATCACGATTATGTACGTGGCGAGGTGTCAGAGTGGCGCCTGTAACGAGCGGGGTGACACAGGGATCAGTCCTAGGACCGGTGCTGTTTCTGGCATTTGTGAACGACATGAAGGAAGGAACAGACTCAGAAGTGTCCCTGTTTGCAGATGATATGAAGTTGATGAGAAGAATTAAATCGGACGAGGACCAGGCAGAACTACAAAGGGATCTATCTGGACAGACTGCAGACCTGGTCCAGAAACTGACTCCTGGAGTTCAACTCCACCAAATGCAAAGTCATGAAGATTGGGGAAGGGCAAAGAAGACCACAGACGAAGTATAGTCTAGGGGGCCAGAGACTATGAACCTCACTCACAGGAAAAGGATCTTGGTGTGTGTATAACGCCTGGCACATCTCCTGAGGCGCACATCAACCAAATAACTGCTGCAGCATATGGGCGCCTAGCAAACCTCAGAAAAGCATTTCGACATCTAAATAAGGACTCATTCAGGACCCTGTACACCGTGTACGTTAGGCCCATATTGGAATATGCAGCGCTAGTTTGGAACCCTCACCTAGCCAAGAATGTAAGGAAACTTAAGTGTAAAGGTTTGCAACAAGACTAGTCCCGGAGCTAAGGGGTATGTCCTACGAGGAGAGGTTAAGGGAAATCGACCTGACAAACTGGAAGACAGGAGAGGTAGGGGGATATAATAACGACATATAAAATACTGAGAGGTATAGACAAGGTGGACAGAGACAGGATGTTCCAGAGATGGGACACAGCAACAAGGGGACACAGTTGGAAGTTAAAGACACAGATGAATCACAGGGATGTTAGGAAGTATTTCTTCAGTCACAGAGTTGTCAGGAAGTGGAATAGTCTGGGAAGCGATGTAGTGGAGGCAGGATCCATACATAGCTTTAAGCAGAGGTATGATAAAGCTCATGGTTCAGGGATAGTCACCTAGTAGCGACCAGTGAAGAGGCGGGGCCAGGAGCTATGACTCGACTCATGTAACCACAACTAGGTGAGTACGAACACACATACACACAATCAGTGATAAAAACACACAAAACAGATGAGGAACCCTTAACAGTGGATACATACAATTTTCCGTTTAATAAGACTTGTGAGAAAGAAGGAAGAGTGAGGTAAGTTAAATTCCACACCAGAGTCAAGCAACCACACATGTAAAGTCACCATGGCAAGAATTTTTTTTATTATTACTGCAGATTTTAACTAATAGACCATTTATTAATCTTTGCGGCCTCATAGGCTGGAAACATTA